CCGGTAATATTACCTTGAGGCGGACATTTTAAGATCACTGTAAGATTACTGTAATATTACAGCGTTATATTACGAATCTCACGTGTAATATTACCTTGATATTGAGGATATATTACGTGCTTCTTGGGTATTTAGATGTCCTTGATTATATATCGAGATTTTAACATAATTAACATTATTGGGAAGTTTCATACAAACGTAAAGAATTATGAGACCCAAGTCTACCTACGAATCAAGCAAAAAATTTTTTTTCATAAAAAATTGAAAATTTTAAAAAATTTTGAGTGTATTGGAATTTCCTTTAATGTATATCAAGATTATATCCTAATTGATATTATTTGTAAGTTTCATGCGAATCAGTCAAGAATTATAGGCTCCAGGTGTGTCTAATTATCAAATTATCGATTTTTTATCACAAAGAAATGTAAATTTAAAATTTTTTTGAGTGTATTTAAATATCCACAATTATATATCCAGATTTTAACCTATTAATATAGTTAATTTTTTTTCATCTTTCTGTTTAAAAGTTACAAGTCTTCAAAAGTTCACTGTTTAAATTTTTCAAAAAAATTCAACCTCCCTCTCTCTCTAGTTTTTGAAAAAACCTAACAATACAACAATACAAAAAATTGCTTTAATTTGCACTGTAAAAAATAAATAAATAAATCTCGCTTAATGATTTGTCACGACGAATTGTAATGAATGGAAATGAATTCCTAATGGGAAAAATACCATTGGCGAATTAATGGCCCAATAATGGGAGCCAGGGATGCCAATATAATTTCAATAATGGCACCCAATAATGGACCATTATTGGTAAAGTCATTTTTATTATTTTTTAATAGTTAATATTTTTATTATTATTTTATATTTATTAATTAAATTAAAATAAAAAATTTACCCGCTCCCCCTTCGGGGTAGCGGAGACATTCTCATCCGCGATTCGCGTGTAGGGGAGGGCTCGCTACGCTCGCATGTTTAAGCGCGCCTCGGGGCGCGCGAAGAGCACTCCGTCGCGCTACACGCTCCGAATGTTATGCTGACTCTACATTAAATATTATATTATAATATATTAATATAATAATTATATGATTATTATATAGGATTAATTTTCTTAAAGTTCTTCGACTTTAAGGATAAAATTCTCATCATGGCGCACTCGCGCTTTGCGCTCGAAAGTATGATGCGGAATTAGAAGTGTTTTTGAGTATTTGAATTTTTCAAATAATGAATCCAAAACTGTCACAAACAAGTACACTTGAATGTACTTGAAAATGTTCACGTACATGTTCTTTGTTTCAATTCGTTTAATTGTATCGAATTTTCTATTTTCTTTGATTTTAGTTTAAATTATGACTATGTCAAGCCACTATACCTACATAATTTTTTTGCCTTTGATTATATAAGCAAATTGCGTGAAGATTTTGTGGGTATACATACACACAGACAGACACTTTCGCCGGACCATGATTTTTCGATTCAGAGCACCTCAGAACGTTGGGGAAGGTGGGGGAATTGGAGCCCCTTAAGGACAATGATTAAAAAAAACCAACTTATTGTTATAATAAAATATTGTTTTGGTCATTTTTTACTCCTTTTGTTAATTATCTTTGATTATAATTAATTCGAAATTAAGAACAAAAAAGTAAGTTTACAAAAAAAATGTTTTCTAAAAAAATGAATTGTCTCTCATTACCCCACCTGTGGGGTATTAGGAGCTCTCACTTGAAATTCCAATAAAATGATATAATTTTTATTTTCTTTAGATATTTTTCTTATTTTGTCAATAGTTCTGGACAGATGAACACGTTACAAATTATTTAAGACATAAAAAAGACCTACAGCTTCTTTAGTATTAGAATATCCAATAATAACACATTTTAGACAATAAAACACAAATATTGATTTTTAGCAATTAAATATACAACAATATCAAATTTTATAAATGAATCTTGTTTAATTTTCAAAAAAATAAGAAAAGCCATATCGAGGTAACGAAACTCTGCTGGATGGCACAATTTTCCCATTACCCCAAAGAATAGAAAAAGTCAATTTTCGACCAATTATAATACCTTCTCATGTGATGAGAATGTTAAAAATGGTCATCACAGTATTAGTGAAACCATTTCTTCCAAAAAAAAGTTTGTTTCACATCCTAATAAATAGGAGAGACATCGGGCAAAAAAATATTTCAATGAGAAGAAAATTTTAGTTCACTTCTTATATACAAATCTAGTTGCACGTCAACTGCGAGAAAGAGTGATGTTCGCCCTCCCTTTGCGGCGTTTAGCGAACTAAAGTGATCAAACTCACGAATTCAAACGAATACAAAATACTTTGCTCATTTTGCACATCGTTTAACAATGTGCAAAATATTTTTCTCATCGTCCGTTCGCGTGAGAAAGTAGGCAATTTTGATTATAGTTGTAGTTGATTTGCAAACGAGGTTATTAAAATATCCACTAATCCAAAATACTTCATATAGGGCTCGTTGGATGCGGAATTATGTCAACTTTCATTTAGTAACGTCAGAATTACGATAACTTTATTTGTTTATAAAATATATCATTTTTTATTAACCTTAATAATTAGTTAGTTAACTAAAAATTGTAACTATGATATAAGTAGATGAAAAAATTTTTGACATATATTAAAAATCTGATTTTAGATTCTTATTCAGCAACCCTGTAACTTTTTCATAACCAAATTTAATGAAAATTCATTAAAATTTGTTCACGTTAGTCAAGTTTTCACATTACTAGTTTTGATATGGTTGATTTTTGATTTTATACAATGCATTATCAGTCCACTGGTTTAATTACTATACATCTACTACGAATTTTTTTCAGATTTTTCCAACCCTTAATACATGAAAAATAGGTATTCTGTTTACAGTTACCCCAAATGACCCTACAAATATGGATAATATTTTTTATTATAATTGTGAAACATAATAATAATTTATAAAAACTACATTTTTAATATTAAAAACAAGTTCTAAAAAAATGATTAAATGTTTAAACTATTATCATTAGGTAAGTCGTCGCACTTACCCGCACCTCAGACAAATTCATCGATTTTCCACCAACAATTTAATTATACCTATTACCTAATTTATTGAAATGTTTTTATTTTTAATGATTACCACATATAGGTGTTTAAACAGACCTGAGCGGTATTAAAATCGTACATACCATTTATAAAAGAGTACTCTTGTTAAATCGTCCACTCTTTTTACAGTGTGACTAATATTATTCATGTGCCCCTTTTTTTTAGGCTTTGACTACTTATACATATATCAACAAAACAAAAATGTTACTTTTGAAAACACGTATTAGGAACCATTTCATTTTATCTGTCTGCAAAAAATTTGGTCATCACACAAACCCGGAAACATAAGTAAACTATAAAAGAGAAAGCGGAGAAACACACTCTTCTTTAGGTTGGTAATCCTGGAAGTACCACTTCCACAAAAAGAGTTTTTATATATGAACACATTTAGGGCTCAATTAGGGCTAATTTAGTACCACGTGAAAAAATTTAGGGACCTTTACCTATTTAAAATAACCTTTGGTACTGCTAGCTTGACGTCAAGCTGGAAGTACCACACTACAGAACCTAAATATTTTTCAAAATTTCTTCCATAGGAATTTAGGGCTCTCAACTGGGACTATTTAAAATTTTCAAAAACCACCCCTAAGTACAAAAAAACATCCCCAATTATTTAAACTCGATTTAATCAAACAATAATCATATAGGAATTAAGAGCTAAATTAGGGTTCTTCAATAGCACTAAATTCACTTTTTAAAAGTGCATCCCAACCACCCCAGCCAAGTAACTGATAGATACTCAACCACAAAAACTACCCTCAACTAGTTAGAACTCAATGTTTTCAAAAACCAACACATATGCATTTAAGGCTAATATAGGGCTCTAAAATATAATTAAATTGGTTATTCAAAAATAATACACCAACTTCCAAAACTACCGTGGGGTAGTTCAAACTTAATTTTTCAAAAAACAAATATTTAGGAATTTAGGGCTAATTTAGGGCTCTTAAATGAAACTAAATTGGGTGTTCAAAAATGATGCACCAACTTTCAAAAACTGCCGCGGAGTACTTCAAACATAATTTTTTAAAGAAACAAATACTTATGAATTTTGGAATACTTTAGGGCTCTTAAATGTAACTGAGCAATTCCACGTGAGATTCAGGGGTCTATCCTCCAATTCCTTCTATACTACGTTTTTGGGTAGAGGTTATGGGTCTAATTGAGTAAAAAAAATTTTGAAAAAAAATATTTATTATTTTTCGAGATATTTGCATTAAAAAATTAGTGCAACATTTTTTTCAATTATTCATAACTTTTTCACTTTTAGTCCAAGCAAAAAGTTTCTTATACGTTTTTTGCTCAGAAAATATTAAAGTTTAAGAAAAAAAAATTAATTATAAATAAATAAATTTTTTAAATTTATTTATTTAAAAAATTAAATTTGTTTTTAATTTTTAAACTTGTTATCGGGCTCCGTTTAAGCTGAAAAAATTCATGAACATTCCTTAATATGAGCCAAAGACATGTGCCAAATTTGGCGAGATGCCCTATTTTTTGTTTTTGAGATAATTGTCGACACGTGAAAGTCTTTAAAAATTATTTAATAGAATTCTCTTTACGTGTGAAGAGGATAAATGGTTAGTAGAATAAAAAAACAATAAAACAAGAAAACACTTCAATAATTTATAAGTCTATCAATGTTTATTTAGAAAATGTCACTCCACAATTTATTTTCTTTATTAACAATATAATTATATAATATAAAATTTAATGCGAAAATACCGCTATACGTCGTTTAGTTCTAAAATCATTCTGATTTAAATTTGTCAGTTTAGCCACACCTTCCGAGTAGTGGGAAAACCCTTCTACCTTTTAAATTTCCCTTTCTTATTAATCGCGCAGCGACATACTGCCAGCCTTGAATGATTACATTCAATCATAAAATATTAATTATCAATAGGAAGCGGAGCTAGTTTTTTAACAGCGCGCATATATTCTCCCGAGGATGTTTTAATTTTAACCACTCTTACAATATTATCCTCTCCCGGAAATACCTCAATTATTCGACCTAAGACCCAACGCAACGGGGGTAAATTATCATCCCTTACTGTCACTAATCTCCCTACCTTGATATCCTCGCTTTGGCCATTGTACCATTTATTTTTAATATTAATTTCATTTAGATACTCATTGTACCAACGTTTCCATAAATTATTTTTTATTTTCTGTACATGTTGCCACGAGGATAATCGGTTTACATTAATATCAGTATAGTCTACAGTAGGAATACTTTGCAATGATTTTCCGATAAGAAAATGTCCTGGAGTAAGCACCCGAAGATCGTTTGGATCCGTTGACATAGGTGTAAGCGGGCGCGAATTAAGTATCGCTTCGATTTCACACAGTAACGTAGTCATTTCCTCATATGCCAACAATGATTCACCCATCACTCTCCGCAGATGATGCTTCAGGGACTTCACAGCTGCTTCCCACAATCCACCAAAATGTGGTGATCGCGCAGGAATAAAATGCCATTCTATTTTTCGGTTAGCCAATGTTCTTTGAATTTTTTTGTTATGATCATTGGAATTAAGCAAACTGTGAAGCTCCTTTAGCTCGTTGCTTGCTCCTATGAAATTTGATGCATTATCCGAATATAATGCCTTTACTTGTCCGCGCCTACTAAAAAATCGCCGTAAAGAACCAATAAATGCATCAGTAGTCAGATCGCTTACAAGCTCTATATGTACAGCCTTGGTTGACAAACAAACAAATACAGCTACATACACCTTTATTTTTTGTTTATTTCGCAATCGTTTCTCCTTTATATAAAAATGACCACAATAGTCAACACCAGTATGTTCGAACGGATAACTGCCTGTAACTCTCGCTTTCGGATAATTACCCATTGTATACTGTATGTCTCGCGGATTCGCTCTGCAACATTTTACACAGGAATGTATAATCTTTTTTACTACTGAACGACCATCGACAATCCAAAAATTTTCGCGAATTGCATATAAGGTGGCATTAATACCAGCGTGTTTCAATTCATTGTGAGTGTCACGTACGAGGAGATTGGTTACTGGGTGATTTTTAGGAATTAGAATCGGATGTTTGATTCCATTTTCGACATCGGCATTTTCAAGTCTTCCTCCTGCTCGTAGAAGTCCCTCTCTGATTATAGGTGTTAATCGAAGAATTTTCGAAACGTTAGGAATTATTTTTTGTTTAGACAAGGCATCAATTTCTTTGGAAAATTCTTCCTTCTGAATTTGTTGAAAAATCCTATTCAATGAAACTTGCATCTCCTCCGAAGTTAATTCACCCGAATTGACTGAACGTTTTCGAACCCTATCAGCAAATCTGCAACAGTACGCAACAATCCGAGTCAATCGCGTCAACGACGAATATCGATTCCACAGCTCGAATTGATCACTCGAAACAAGTTTCGCATTCAGAATGGACAGTTTTGGTTCCGCAGGTATCTTAAAACTGTCAATTCCTATTGAGTGATCAGGCCAGTCTGATTCATTCAATTTGAGCCACGTAGGTCCATGTTTCCATAATTCATTTACGAGAAAATCCTTTGGTAGCTGTCCTCGAGATATAAAATCTGCAGGATTTTCCTTGGTAGATACATGTCTCCAGTCAGATGGATTGGTAGAATTTTGAATTTCCGTGACTCTATTTGCTTCAAAGGTTTCTAATTTATATGGTGGCGTATTTATCCAGTTCAATGTGATCATGGAATCAGACCAGAAATATATTTTCTCGAAATTTATTTTCAGCGCAATTTTAATTGCTTCATACAATTTAACGAGAAGTTTCGCAGCACATAATTCCAATCTTGGTAAGGAGATGACCTTGACAGGAGCCACCCTTGATTTTGAACATAGTAAAATAGATTGATGTCCATGATCATTGGAAGTACGGAGATATAAACAGGCACCATATGCTTTTTGACTTGCGTCAGCAAAACCATGCAGTTGGCACTCCTTTGCCTCTGGAACCCTGACTGATCTTGGAATGCTCCATTCAGACAAAAGTGATAATTGCTCCCGATGAGTCTGCCACAATGTTAGTGATTCTACGGGAAGAGGATCATCCCATCCTACATTCATCTTCCAGAGAAGCTGCATTTGTATCTTCGCTAAAATCACGATCGGAGAAATGAGTCCAAGAGGATCATACAGTTGCGCTACCTGAGATAATATCTTTCTCTTGGTAATATTCTCAAATGATTCTAATTTGGTCTCGAAATTGAATCTTAGTGAATCCTCCGAAGAATTCCATCTCAATCCTAAAGTTTTTGATATTGGATCTCGACCCAAAATTTGATCCAATTTTTTAGAGCCTTCTTCAACATCATTGATCAACTCTGAGTGATTTGAATTCCATTGACATAAATTTAATCCGGCCTTTTTAGTCAGTTTAATGAGATCCATTTGGAGTTGTTTAGTTTCTTCGAAAGTGTCCCTACCAGTAGCCAGATCGTCTACATAAAAATCTTCCTCCAGGACCGCAGCTGCTATTGGAAATGAGTCTCTCTCATCTTCTGCCAGTTTCTTCAAACATCGAGTAGCTAAAAATGGTGCTGCAGCAGTACCATATGTTACTGTGTTAAGCTGATAAGTTTCCAAAGGATCGTTCTTGTTATATCTCCACAGTATTTTTTGGTATCGTCTATCACCAGGATGAATGATGAACTGCCTATACATCTTCTCGATGTCCGCAGTGAGAACAAATTGATGCTGTCTGAATCTCAAAACCAAATCAAAGATGCCACTCTGAATTGTTGGTCCAACCATCATTGCCTCGTTCAAAGACACTCCAGATTTTGATTGAGCTGAAGCATCAAAGACGACTCTCAATTTTGTGGTAAGGCTTGACTCCTTCAAGACACAATGATGAGGAATATAATATCCAATTTCAGGATCCACTGATGAAATGAGTTCCATATGATTCAAATCTTCATATGTTCTCATAAATCGATGATAATCTTCCTTCAGTTTTGGATTTCGCTCCAATTTTCTTTCCAGGATAAAAAATCGCTTTTTTGCTGCTTCATAAGATGATCCCAAAAGATTCAGCTTATCATTGAAAGGTAAGCGAACTTGGTATTGACCCGATGATAACCTCTCTATATTGGAAGTAAAATGCTCCTCGCACGCCTCCTCTTCAGCTGACAAGAATCGCCTTTCAGAAAATTCCTCCAATTTCCAAAAATTCTCCAGTTGAATGCTTAATGGATCTCTTATTAAATTGCTGGAGAACCGGTAGCGACTCGCCTGATCATTGATCCTTCCAGAGACGATCCATCCCAACCTTGTACTCTGCAATGATGTCCCAGGTGTGGAGAGGGGAACTCTGTTCACATGCAGCAAATCGTAGAAAAGCTCGGCTCCAATCAACATGTCGATTCCTGATGGTTTGTCAAATTCGGGATCAGCTAAATTCAATGTTTTAGGAATTTTAAGGATATCTTTATTCAATGGCATGATAGGAACATTTCCGGTTATCTGAGGTAACACAAGGAAATCAAGCTTGGCTGAAAAGGAAGAATTTCGTGATTGGAATGTCGCAACGACCCACTCAGAACTATTTACCTCTTTATTATTAACAACTTCTATCGTAGCGTTAAACTTTGATTTCTTTAATTTAAGACGATCAACTAAGTCTCGAGTTATTATATTCGGTTGTGAACCGCTGTCCAAAAGAACTCTACACACATGTTTTCCCTCACAACTGTCAAGAACATCAACTACAGCTGTTGATAAAATTACTTCGGAAGAGTCCTTTATGTGACAATTCTTTACTTGAACCGAATCATTTTTCTTATCATTTGAATCCAAACTAGATTGTACAATTGAATCAGAATGCATCGCGGTATGATGTCTACGATTACAAATAGAACAATTTCTCGATTTACATTCTCCGATCATATGACCACGCCTTAAACAATTAAAACAAAGCCCCTTTTTCTTTACTACTTCTGTTTTCTGTTCATGAGGTAGTTTTACGAAATCTTCACAACTCTGAATAAAATGATTTTCATTACAATGATAACAGTGTATATTTCCCTGTGTTGTTACTAATGTTCTTCCCAAAATTTTCCTATCATTATTCGCTTGAGATTTAGAGACCTGAGTTACAATTTGTTTACCATGATTATTACTATTATTATTATTATTTATACCAAGATGTAAACTTTCTAAAATTTGACATTTCTCCCTTAAAAATTCAATAAATGAATCAAAACTAGGCACATTTATACCCTTCACCGAACGTTCCCATTCTCTCCGTGATTCTTTATCTAATTTTGCAGAAATTAAACAAATTAAAGGGACGTCCCACGATTCCGTTGGTTGACCGAGTACTTTTAATGCTCTCACATGTTTAAGTGTCGTGTCTAGCAAATCACGCAAGCAAGGAGCTGATTCTTTAATTACTGATTGTAAATCAATCAAAGCTTGCATATGATTAACAACTATTATGCGTTTATTATTATATCTATCCTCTAATAATTTCCAAGCTATACCGTAATTTGCTTCTGACGTTTCTATATTTTCTATTACTCGAGCAGCATTTCCTTTTAAGTACGACCTCAAATAACGTAATTTTTGTACATTGGGAATAGATTCATCGTTATGAATGATAGCAGTAAACGAATCGCGAAAGCCCAACCACTCTTCGTACCCTCCGGAGAAAATGGGAAGGTCTAGCTTGGGTAGTGGGAAACGTGATCGGATAGTTGACGCCTCATTATCATTTATAGTCGCACGGGAGGTGGCAAGTTCTCGTAAATGCTGTATTTCAGACTCGTGCTGTACACGAATCCTCGTCTCTAATTCAAAAATGCGCAAACGCTGTCGTTCCACCTCCTCCTGATTAACATTGTCATTATTATACATAGTAACTGTTTGATTGGAACACTCATTAATTAATTTCATAGCTAAACTTGTATAAACAAAATAATTATCTTCAAATTCTGAACGTTCTATTTCTCGACTAGGTGTAGGAGCAAGCAACTCTATGGTCTTTTGAGCTTGATCATATTGAGACCACGTTTCTTCGATTTTTCCTAACCGTATTTTTAATGCATTAGGATCAATATTCTCGCGCGGTTCATCTTTCAATTTTTCTAAAAATGTTTTAAATTTTGTCAAACGCGATTTACAATTCGTTCGATCTTGTCTCGCATGATCAAGCTGTGTAACCGACATGATAAACACTCACAATACAATCAATCACTATTATTATAATTATAAGAAAATTTAACAAAACAATAGATATAAATACGCTTACTTTACTGACGAATTACAAATTGATGACCTTTGATGAAAGCTGCTATTGTTTGTCAGTTATTGTTGCTGAATTTGAAGATTGTTGATTGCCGTTGGAATCTCGTAATCGTAGTTGAAAATTTTCCAAAGTTGACACCAAAGTAGAATAATTCTCAATCTCAATAATGAGATGGGACCAAAATTAACAAATTTGATGATATATCAAACTTTTGAAACCTCTGAAGATAAGTGAGACACCAACGACACCATAATTAATGATAAAATTTCAAATATTCGTTATATTTTGAGAATGATATGTACAGCGGCTTGTACAATATTCTAGTTTTTCAGCACCAAACCCTATAATTCACTTCACGATAAACTTGATAATTATCAAACCTTAGCAACACAGTTCAATACACTTAAAATAGTACAAAATATCCAACTCGAAGGACCATGTCGACACGTGAAAGTCTTTAAAAATTATTTAATAGAATTCTCTTTACGTGTGAAGAGGATAAATGGTTAGTAGAATAAAAAAACAATAAAACAAGAAAACACTTCAATAATTTATAAGTCTATCAATGTTTATTTAGAAAATGTCACTCCACAATTTATTTTCTTTATTAACAATATAATTATATAATATAAAATTTAATGCGAAAATACCGCTATACGTCGTTTAGTTCTAAAATCATTCTGATTTAAATTTGTCAGTTTAGCCACACCTTCCGAGTAGTGGGAAAACCCTTCTACCTTTTAAATTTCCCTTTCTTATTAATCGCGCAGCGACAATAATAATTAATTAATAATTAACAAAAATTAATAAAAAATGAAATATTTTACGAACAAATAAAATTAGAATAATTTTAAAAACGCCATTTTAATGCTTATCAAAATCCGCATCTAACGATCCCTATTTGAACTGTTTCGGATGAACGGATTTTAAATTAATAATAAGTAATAATAATTATTTAAATAATTAATAACATTTGAAAGAGTGACGATAAACAGTTATTTTTTTTGTTTGGAAGATCATCTAATTCTGTGTCAAATAAAAACATTGCAAATAGCATTTTTAACAATATAAATTATTAACAGATGATTATTGAAAATCGCTTTTTAAGCACTCCACGGCACAACTTGGCGTAGGTTTCCTACCAGCTCGGCACGGTATTTTTCGGTCTTTCTCTAAATAACATTTTAGAATTAATTTTCGATTCTTAATAATACTTAATATTCTTTTCTTGACACGGAATCTTCCAAACAAAAAAAAATAACTGTTTATCGTCACTCTTTCAAATGTTATTAATTATTTAAATAATTATTATTACTTATTATTAATTTAAAATCCGTTCATCCGAAACAGTTCAAATAGGGATCGTTAGATGCGGATTTTGATAAGCATTAAAATGGCGTTTTTAAAATTATTCTAATTTTATTTGTTCGTAAAATATTTCATTTTTTATTAATTTTTGTTAATTATTAATTAATTATTATCTCAAAAACAAAAAATAGGGCATCTCGCCAAATTTGGCACATGTCTTTGGCTCATATTAAGGAATGTTCATGAATTTTTTCAGCTTAAACGGAGCCCGATAACAAGTTTAAAAATTAAAAACAAATTTAATTTTTTAAATTAATTTTTTTTTCTTAAACTTTAATATTTTCTGAGCAAAAAACGTATAAGAAACTTTTTGCTTGGACTAAAAGTGAAAAAGTTATGAATAATTGAAAAAAATGTTGCACTAATTTTTTAATGCAAATATCTCGAAAAATAATAAATATTTTTTTTCAAAATTTTTTTTACTCAATTAGACCCATAACCTTTACCCAAAAACGTAGTATAGAAGGAATTGGAGGATAGACCCCTGAATCTCACGTGGAATTGCTCAGTTACATGAGAAAATAATATAGAATAATTAATTTTCCCTCAAAATCAATGTTGTAACCCATCAAAATGCGTGGCTTGAAGGCGGTTCCAGAATAGGTGCAAAAGCCAAGTTAAGTTGCAAGTCCAAGTGACAATCTTATGAGTGCGAAAGAGATAGGTAGTCTATCTACCTTTTTTGCACTCATGGAATTTGCATTTGTACTTGCACTTTAACTTAGCTTTTGCACCTATTCTGGAACTGCCTTGAAACTCCGTATAGGCGATCGCTCGCGCCACGGCTTATTTGTTTAAACTTATATATTTAAAAAACTGATTCAGGAATCTTGCTGCAACTTTACAAAAAACTTCCTTATATAGTAATTAACAAATCTCTCACTGGAAGTTCTTTTAATTTTAAACTTCCTCGCAGACTTTTTGTCGGCAAAGGTAAGAAAACGCCGTAAGTGACATGTCTCTATTTATTAATAAAAATAATTAAACAATTGATGATTTTCATACGTGTATACCAAATTCCAAAACAATTCCTTAATAATTCTTGAAGATACGACAATTCATGTTTTAAAATTGAATAAAATTTGTAAATAAAAATTTAACAGCTTTTTGTCCTTATTAATGGAAATATTCACTCTACAAAAAAATATCAAAGAAAAAAAAGATGCGCCTTCTTATTTCCTATAAGTTAGTGGTTTTCAAAATAAAAAAATTTTAATTTTTCTCCATTTTCGTACATTTGACTGCCTTCACAGTAACTGGCCGAGCACTCATCCCCTTATTGTATGGAGGCCCTCAATTTTTTTTAGATCAATTATAGAAATTTTTTACGATTAGACAAATTCCGGAGACCAATCGTTCATTATATTTGGACGCTGCCTTTCTAGATAGGGCTAAGATATGGTTCGAGACTCAATCATTGCAAACTTATAATGATTTTAAACAAAAAATTTATTATAAAGATGAATGAGAAATTCCCTTCCAAGTGTATATTTTGATAAGAAACAAAATTCGATCAATGTTATTATATCCTACGAGTGACTAAAAAAGAAAAAAGTTATTTTGATTAAAAATAAAATAGTTATTAATTTTTTATTGAGACATTGCAAAATTCGTGAAGTGCAATTTTCTCAATGCGAGGAAGTTCGACAAATTTTCAGTAGCAACAAACTTCCAGTGAGAAAGTTGTTCATTAAGGTCGAAAGAAGTTTTCCGGAAAGTTACGATGGAATTGAACAATTAATCACCATTTTGACTATCCTCTCTCCGCAAACTTCACAAATTCACGCTAGCTGGTCGTCTCCAACCGACGCTACAATCTTAAAGTTTCACCAACGAGCGATAAGTTTTTATTTAATTTTTGTTGTTATTAATCAATTTCCATTGTCTTTTGACCTAATATTTTATTGGCGTTTTACTCGATTCTTTACATTTAACTAGCGCCTCCGACGGCCTTTGGCCGTCTCTGTTGCTTCTATTCTTTGTTAATTCAATTTAATTTTCAATTCATGTTTCATAATTTATTACAATTATTTTATTAAATATTTATTAATATTGTTAACAAAATGCAAAAAGGCATGTAATTATAGAGAAAGTTTCAAACAGAAAAATAATAATCTATTATATTTGTAAAATTTGTCTAAAAATAATAATAATTGTTGAATAATTTTTTTTAAAACTAAAAACACTTTTTTTATTCAAGGTAATATTATTTTTATAATAATTTAATTTATTACAATTATTTTATTATAATTTAATAAATTTCATTATTTTAAAAAAGCGCGCGCTATTTTGTCTTGGGCCAATTAAGTGATTTGAACTAAATGTAAGTTATGTTCGTTTCTGATTCATGACAGCTGCAAATATTTACAACAAATAAGCTTTGCAACTGTATATTTGTTGCAATTAAGTAAGTTATGCAAAATATATATGTGGAACAATAATTTAAGGTGATTTTTATAAAATGAATATTAATTTAGATGCTCTGGAAAGCAAAGTTCATTTTTTCTTACATTCAATTTTTTCGACAATCGAGATATTTCGATACATTTTCATGTGCTTTGCATGCACTGTCTTTTTTAAGAAAGGATTAATTCTTAAATTCTGTTTTATATTTTAATATTCAATTGTTTATTATATAATTTTATTATTTTATGTGTATGTGTGTGTGTCGGTATGTATGTGTTTGAGACGCGTCTCTAAAAGCTTTTGACGCAGCATTTAATAAAATTATATTTTGTTTCAATTTTTTTTGAATATTTAAAAAAAGCTGTAGAATATATTATACAGGGTGTTCCAAAAGTATGGAAACTTGCAAATATCTCGAAAAGTACGAATTTTTGTAAAAAATGTTCAAGAAAAAAGTTGTTGCAAACAAAAAGATGTACATCTTTGAAACCAAAAAATTGGGCCTGGAGCCCAATGTTGGGCCCTACAATGAAAAAAGTGATTTTCTTAAATGAGACCACTAATTTTCAGTATCAAATTCGTAATCCCCATGAAATTCTGCGTTCAGACATGTGGTATAAGTGCCCAAAATATTGGGCCCAGTCCAAGATATTGGGTCCAAAATTTATCAACAGATAAATAAATTTTAAAAAATCGCATCTTGGAGGGATTTTGAGATCACAGGATTAGAAAATGAAAGCTAATTTTCAAATTGGGCATAGAGTCCAATGTAAGATTCCGCCGCCCAATGTGAGGGCCCAATATTTTTGGAATTTGTACCACAAGTCTAAGCCCAGAATTTCACAACGATTACGAAATGGAAGGAAACTAATTTTTTACTGTAGGCCTCACATTGGGCTACGGAATCTTACATTGGGCTCTGTGCCCAATTTGAAAAGTAGCTTTGAATTTCTAATCCTGTGACCCCAAAAACTCCAAAAGATGCGATTTTATAAATTTTATAAATGTCGAGCCCAATCCCAAACATTGGGCCCAATATTTTTTGGCTTTTGTACTACAAGTTTAAACCCAGAATTTCATAACGATTCTGAAATGGATACTGAAAATTAGTGGGTTTTATTTAAACAACTAATTTTTTTTAATGTGGGCCTCACATTGGGCCGCGAAATCTTACATTGGGCTTTGTGTACAATTTGAAAATTAGCTTCGAATTTCTAATCCTGTGATCCCAAAAACCCCTAAAGATGCAATTTTTTAAATTTATTTATTTAACGAAAAATGTTGGGCCTAATCCCAGACATTGGGCCCAATATTTTTGTCATTTTTACTACAAGTCTAAACCCAGAAATTCATGGGGATTACGAATTGGATACTGAAAATTAATGGGTTTTATTTAAGACAACTAATTTTTTTTACTGTGGGCCTCACATTGGGCGGCGGAATCTTACATTGGACTCTATGCCCAATTTGAAAATTAGCTTTCAATTTCTAATCCTATGATCTCAAAATCCCTCCAAGATGCGATTTTTTAAAATTTATTTATCCGTTGATAAATTTTGGACCCAATATCTTGGATTGGGCCCAATATTTTGGGCACTTATATCACATGTCTGAACGCAGAATTTCATGGGGATTACGAATTTGATACTGAAAATTAGTGGTCTCATTTAAGAAAATCACTTTTTTCATTGTAGGGCCCAACATTGGGCTCCAGGCCCAATTTTTTGGTTTCAAAGATGTACGTCTTTTTGTTTGCAACAACTTTTGTCTTGAACATTTTTTACAAAAATTCGTACTTTTCGAGATATTTGCAAGTTTCTATACTTTTGGAACTCCCTGTATATTTAATCTATTTTGTTGTCTTTAATTATATCGATACCTTCGAATTTCCATTTATTTATATCTATTTGTGGATTTTCATTTTTTTGAGTTTTATATTTTATTTCTAATTCATAAGTTTTTTTGTCTATAGTATACATATAAGTGTAGTACTTCAAATGCTACCAAATGCAGATGATGCAATCCAAGCCAGATGATGCAAATCCAAATGCGCACGAGATCTCTCTATTCTTTCGGTTTCTTGTCAATATAATTTTATTAATTGTCAGTAGCAAGCACTATTAGCAAGTGATAGTAAATCTTGGTATTAGTGCAATAGTTAATTTCGAATACGTCTTAAAGGCAATAGTTAAAACACTACTTTTTTTGTATCGAAAAATTTAAACGTGTTTTTCTCAAAACATGTTTTCTCGCGCGCCATGCAATGCCTCTCAGATAATTTTTAACAGATTTTCATGAAACTTACGAGAAATCTTCTTTAAACTACTGGCTATTGCATGACGAGCTGCTTGTTTTTTTTTTTAAATTTTTAAACCATTTTTTTGTAGATTGTGTTTATAAAAGAATTAATTTTTTTCAAAATGGTCGCAAATTTTCAACAAAATTTTTTTTTTAATTTTCTCTTCATCATGCAAAGCCTATTTGTGTATTTTAACGATAAAAATTTTATTTTTTGAATTTGGTTGAGATTTGAGACTTTTAATATCAGAAATGTACAAAGTCTAGTTTTGAGTAAAACGAAATTAATGTGTATAGAAGGATAAACTATGACCTTCCGCTCCTCTGTCAACTTTTGATCATTAAATAATGAAAAAAATATTTTTATTTTGACATCATTTATTCAAAAAAGTAATTGTTACTCTATATTACAAGACAGATTTTTATCTATCACATTGCATTTAGTAATAAATAAAATGAATTTAGCTAAAAACTGTAAGAACATTAAAGTATTAACCTACAACAACAATATTCTCAGCAAATTCATAAGGAGGCACCTCAAGATTCAAAGGAGCTGGTCCTTTTCGAATCCTACCGCTAGCGTCGTAATGAGAACCATGGCAGGGACAATAATATCCACCAAAATCACCTGCGTTGGCAATTGGAACACAGCCCAAGTGAGTACACACACCAATAACAATCAGCCATTCTGAACGTTTAACACGTGCACTGTCATGTTCTGGATCACGAAGAATTGACATATCAACGGCTTCTTCCTTTGCGATTTCTGTTTGTGGTCTGCAAAACATAAGTTTAATGATTAAAATTTTCTAATGAAAGTGTTTATCACTAACCCTTAAAGTTCACTATGGGTGTTTGACACCCATACTAGTCTTTTGTGCTCTAACATATCCCCCGTAATACCTAGATATTCAGGATATCTATCGGCTTTCGGATATCTGTAGCCTGTTCGCAGGATATTTAAAACACCAAAAGCCGCTGGATAACCCACACTGAGAGAAAAGATTGGTTGGCGTTGCCATTTTAGTTAGTAAACTATACTGCTGCTAATTTATTAGTTGTGGTTACTATTTTTATTGGTTAGCATAATTGTTTTATTAGTTGGTTTAACTAATTAGTTTGTTGAAATAAGTATTTAATTAGTTACCTTACTAAATAAATGGTAACAGTAAGTAATCTAAATTAGCAAAAATACTTTTACTAACGAAATGGTAATGGCAACCAATCTTTTAAACCAGGTTCAAAAAATATTAACGCTGAACATGATTTCGATGTTAGTTTTCAGAATTCAATATGACGGATAGATTATTAAAAAATAATTGGATTTGCTTGAAACTGGTTATCCGAGATTATAAATCTAAGAGATTTAAAGCTTTTTTATTAAAAAAGATTTTACTTTTTGGCCATTCAAACCGAAACGATATTGTAAAGTTGCAAGCTTAATGCAAGTGTAAGTTAATAGATCACTGAATTTATACATTTTGAAACGAACGTCACTAGTAAAAAAAAGTTATCGAAACTAATACATTGACACCTAGTCAGGGTGTCTACTATAATTAAGACATGTAAACCCAGTAAAAAAAACTAATTCAGATGAATTGAAATGAATCAACTTTTTTTGTCAAGGTCCAATTTGTATTTATCGCTAAGCAACATTCAGTGAAGCCCTTTGTTTATTCAATTCAATTTGTACCAATGAGTTTTCATTGGTTGAGAATTCAAACAAAATGACTAACTCATCTATAGAATTTGTTAATCTATAACTAACCAATCAGAATATCCCCATTTTCTTTCCTCCCGCTATGCCATCAACTTTTCTCCCCAGGGAAGAAAATTGATGATGTAACGGGAGGAAAGTGGACAAGTGAGATAAAAACACATGCATTAAAGTTAGTCTTAAAAGTGAGAACTTATAAAAAAGTAGTAAAAACTGTACATGACTGAATTAATCTAGGACTTACGTTTACATTTAACCGACGCAAAACAAAATTGCAATTTTAAAGAAAATAGAAAACATAGACCCTTGACATACCTAACATTAAGGGGTTAAACCAACTCTTCAACGTCAAAAAGGGGCCTAATTTTAATAATTTTTTAAAGAAAAGTTTAAAAATAATGAAAAATATGTTTATATATCTTTATTGAGTACACTTTAAAGAGAAAAAAAATATACTCCATAAATTATTTTCTTTTAAATTATCAGGTGTACAGATACACTCGTGGCCAGATATGCCTACACATTTATGTCCTTTTCTAACGCATGTGTTGCCATGAGGAAACCAATTTAAGCAATTTAATTTAAGGAAAGTTAAGGAAACCATTTCTGAGGGAATCACTTCGCGGCCAGAAATGTTTTTGATAAAATTTTCATCCTAGTACAAAAAACAAATTTTTTTTTAATTTTACATTTCAAAAACTAGAGATAGACAAAGGAGAATTTTTTTTATAAATTTTTGCAAAAATTGTGAACATTTTAAGAAAAAACGGAGGTTTTGTTTAAAAAAATATGCACTAAATTGTTTATAACTAAAGAAATATGCAAAATAAAAAAAATCCGTATGTCTTTCTCTAGATAATGTTATTGAGAAGCTACAGCTAAAATTTTTAATTAAGTCGATGGAGATTTGTGAAAGTTATGTTTCCGATCAGCTCAAAAAAGTAGTTTTGAGAAAAACGCGTTTAATGTTTTACTTATGATTTTTTGGATATACCTTTAATCTGCGATGCCTGCGCCATATAATCAGTGGAATTTCACTGACTAGTTGTAAAAATTACTGCAACTTAGTTAAATTTTACTGATTGAGCTAGCCAAGAGTTAAAATGAAGTGGAAATGTCCCTGCATTAGATTATATAGGAAAATACCTCAGCCGAACACGCAGTACAAGACAACAATTAGGATCAAATTGAAGCATTTAAAAAGTGTTTTTACTTATAATTGATATTGTTTCTTATTTTAGATACCCTTATGCATCTTTAAAAAAAAAAAATGTTTTGATTTTTTGAAAATTTTAGAATGGTTTAACCCCTTAACTCACCAAGAATTCAACTCCAAAAGGGTGGGACTTCTCTAAAATCCCTTTGGGAGTTCAAATCTAACTCCTTTTTTTACATTGTACCGGTAGTATAATTTTTCTTACCTATGACGCACAAAAAGAGGTTTACCACGCCACTTAAAAACAGCACTTTTTCCTTCTGGTATAGCATCTAACTTGATTTCAATTTTAGCAAGAGCTAAAACATCTGCTGAAGCACTCAAGCAAGAAACAAGATCGACAATGAGGGCTTTACCAGCATACGCAGCTCCAACACCAGTAGCTATAAAAGGTATATTCTACTTTCGTTTCGTTCAACAAACAGAATTAAAAGTACATTATACTTTAGCTTCGTGGATATACTTCCGAAGAAGGGGTACCTCCAATTATAATAAAACTTGGTATACTAACGTATTTTGGTGCGCTGATTACGAAAATGATAGTGAAAATTGGCGAAAATTTGATTATCATAGTAAAAACCATTAAAAAAACACCATAAAATCATGGTTTTCTACGATTATCTCGTAAAAAAGCAAAATTTCAAAAAATGTTTTGGACAAAAGTTGTAGATCTCAAAAAAACACACATGTATATGTATATGTCCTATACATTTTTTACATTAAACCTCTCGGCCACGCAATGGCTATAGGAAAAATTTTTGTTTACCAGCACATATCCTTCTTTAATAATGTTAATTATAAATTGTATTTATTTATTAGATAAGTTATTGAATTAAAATATAAACATTTTTAATATTAATGGAATAATATTAATAAGTAATAAATTAATAAAAAATTTAATTAATTAAATTAAAATTACGCATTTTGTTACTTATTCTGATTTTATATAAAATGAATACGAATTATGTAAATTAATAATAGTTTTATATAAAGCTGGAATTGCACATTGTAATATATAAAAATTTGAAGTACTACAGCAAATAATAATTATAATTACTATATATTCTTAATGAGTTTATTTCTTTATATTTTTTAATTTATTTTATTATTATAGGCATAATAATTATTATAATATTTATTTTAATTAATGAATAATTAATTAGAAATTAAGTAGGGAAGACCGGGGTTACTTGGCGCACTTTTTACTCTTCGTTGTGTAACTCACTTATTTTTGCTTTTTTTAAAAAGTTAATTTATAGAAAACTTGTTGTAACATATCAGCTTTAATTAAAAAAAAGAAAGTTAAAATATATTTAATACTTTTATTTTTATACCACTTTATTTGAAGCTGTGCAAAGCGGGCCAAGCAACCCCGGCCCGGGGTTGCGTGGCGCAGGAGTGAAATTAAAATTAAATTATATGATTTAAAGTTTAAATAATAAAAGACTTAATAAAATAAGTCTTGTACTGTAATTTTACAATAAAATTATTTTAAATTTAAAAATTAAAAAATTTCATTTAAATTAAATGAAATTGTAAAATTACCAAAATTTTTTTTTTTATAATAACGCTGTGAATATTTGAAAACCATTATTCGGTTAAATTTTTTGAATAGGATTGTTATTGGTGCTTCTTAATGTGTAAATTTCATATAATCAACTTCATTTTATTAATATTTAACGAAATTTTCAGATAACCGCGCCACCTAACCCCGAATGTACTTTTGAAATTAAAAAAATTGAAAATTAATTTTTTATAAAAACTGTTAATATAAATCAGAAATTTTTTTTGTTTCTTAATAACAAATGTATAGAGCTCAAAACTTAATATTTGAACTCTTCTAAAATTAAGTTTTTAAAGACATATCACAAAAAAATGAAGAGGTTAAAAAATTACTTTGGAGTTCCAAAATCAGTTATTTTAATCTATACTCCACAATAATTAATGAATATTAATGAAATTTTGTACAAACTATTACTATTTTGCAAATAAAAAGTTTGATCTGCAATAGTTTGAGACGGAATAATTTGTTATTAAGAGAAAATATAATAAAATAAGAATAAATGATCAAAGTTAAAATTATTCCTCACCTAGCGCGACCGAGTTCAGAGTTGCTGGGGCTCTATTTGACGATATAAAATAAAATAATAATTTTAGTTGCACGCGGACGCCAGTTAATTTATTAATTAAAATCAACAAAAGACTTAGATCACAGGGAGGGAAGTTGGTGAACCCAAATACAAAATATAAAAATAAAATATTAGGCGACTTCCAGGAATATTTATTATAAAAGATCAAATGAAATACATTAACCACTTACTTGTCTGATCAATAATGATCAAATATCGACTCTTTTCCTAAATTTCGTTCAAACAATACGATAATAATTTTCGATAACGTCGATCCTCAAGTTCCATACAATTTTAAAATTTAATTGATGCAATAATTCAATATAATTTTATATAATACACAAAAGGAGATATACTATTATTATACTATTGGCGCTTAGATCGATGTAAGGTCACAGGGGCGAGATATTGACCTTTTTTCCCTAACCCTTATCCTAAGATATTTGATCATTTATTTCTCAAAATAATGTCAAAAAATATATTCCCGAACATTTGTTTTTATACGAAATAAGTTCGCTTCGAGTACGGAACCCTCGATTTCAGTGCGAGTGTAACTCGCACTTGTCCGATTTTTTAATATTAGAGTTGTAACGACTGAAGAAATAAACTCAAGGAAAAAGTCCACTTTTTCTACTTCTTATCATTTTTATTACATTATTTCTATAATCTACACATAAAAATACGTGAAAATAATAAATTTGAAGCCCTTTAGATAAAATTTTTTTCGTTATTCGGAGAAAATTCATGATTTTTTCTAAAATTATCAGTTTTTTCTTGACAGCACCTGAAAATTCAACTCCAATCATCCTCGCTATATTTTTTGTGTTATATACACGTAAAAATACGTCGAAATGTATAAATTTGAATCACTTGATATAAACTTTTTTCGTTTTTTGAGGAAAAATACATTTTTTCCTTAAAATTATCATTTTTCTTTAAAAATTTGATAAAATTTGATCATCAACTCCAATCGTACTTACATTTTCTCCCTACAATTTTCACGAAAAAATACATTTATACAACAAATATGAACATTCTGGGTTGAATATTGTGTGCGCTAGGAAGATTAAACCATTTTTTTCAAAATTTTTGATTTTTCCTTGCCAACGCTATGTAAATTGATCCGAATCAAGTTCGCTATATTTTTCCTGTAATTTTCACGTAAAGATACGTAAGTGTGCAAAATTTAAGCTTTTTATGTCAAAAGATGTGGCCGCTAGGGGGGGGGGGGAACATACTCATTTTTAGGCAATTTTCGTAAAAATTCATGGTTTTTCCTTGACAACGCTATGATAATCAACTCCAATCTGGTTCGCTATATTTTTCCTGTAATCTACACGCGAAAATACATATGTGTACTAAATTTCAGCCCTCCAGATAAATTCGTGTGGCCGCTAGGGGGGGGATACACGATTTCAAAAAAACCGATATCAATAGGGTTCCGAACCGAGTACGGAACCCTAAAAATGATGGAAAAATAGTGCAGACAAAGTCAGATGCTATCTACAGCTGTACTTCAAGTAAACTGCTGAACGTGGCCTTTGACCGCTTAAGATATACTGCTCTGTTTATATTTTAAAGAAACCTTGGCGGGGTGGGGGGGTCGGAAATAGCCGAAAGTACATAGTTCGTGAAACTTTCTTAAACTAGCTGTTCACTTTTGGAAGGGCCCAAAGTTTGGAAATCTTTCATTAACTTTTTTTCAAGATTCCACAAACTTTTTTTTGTGCGCGTGCGCAGACATAGATCGTCATGAAGAGTGATCAACGTTCGTGAAATCTTGGAAAAAGTTAGTGAAAGATTTCCAAACTTTGGGACCGTCCAAAAGTGAAAAACTAGTTTACGAAAGTTTCGCGAACTATTTTTTTCCGTGTATTCTGCTGACAAAGTTAGGTGGGATCCACAGCAGCAGTTCACGTAACACGATGTACGCGGCCTCAGGCTGTGTCAAGTTCTACTCTGCGTTTTAAAGAAACTTTGGCGGGGTTCACATACAATGGACTGTGATTGGTATATTATGTATCAGTTTTCATGGTTTTTTTTTATTTTTCTCGAAAAATTATTACTTTTTGTAAAAAATGTATAGGAGATAAAATGTGTGTTTTTTTGAGGCCTACAACTTTTGTCTAAAACATTTTTTGAAATTTTTCTTTTTTTACGAGATAATCGCAAAAAACCATGATTTTATGGTGTTTTTTTTATGGTTTTTACCATGATAATCAAATTTGCGCCAATTTTCACTATCATTTTCGTAATCAGCGCACCAAATACGTTAGTACACCAAGTTTTATTAAAAAATCAAAGGTAGCCCTACTTCGGAAGTACACCTACTTTCGTTACATAAAATAGGAGCAAAATTTTTGTAATTTTTTAATCAAAACGAAAATTATTTTTTAGCTTCGTTTTGATTAGTCAAGTCACCGCTTTACTGTAAAAACGTACATAAGCTCTCACATTAGGCCACAGATAAGTATTCACGTTAGGTCGCTTAGAAGATCTCAGATGAGACACCTTCTTCATAGGTGGAGCCAACCTGATTATCCAAAGAAACTTCTACGTCAACTTTGCGTCTATAATATTTTAAATTTTACAAATATAATTTATTAAAAACTTTTATTTAAATTTCTTATTATGGTTCCATGAAACTAATTCGCTGTTATTAACATGCATAAAAATATTAAACATGTTTGAATTTGGATATACAAATAAAATTTATTACTTCTTGTACTGTTTTTAAGTATTCCCATGAATAACACTTATTTAAAAACATTATTTAGTAATTATTTAATATTGAATATTAAAATTTGATCAAAACAGAAATTACTCGATTTTCAACAAATAATTAATGGCATACAGAATTAATGAACATATTACTAGAATATTATAGTGTTTAAAAATAATCAAATTATGAAATTTTGTAAATATTTGTTGCTTGATATAACTTTTTTTGGATCTTTTAAAAACTTGAGAATTCTGTTAATGTAACTGATTTTCCTTGTTTAAAAAAAATAATTTTTAAATTGGAGTTATGTACTAATTTATTTTTGATCACATTACTTTTAATATAAGAAAATTCTGGTAAAAAGTGCGTTGTAATTAAGTATATTATACAAATTACATTAGTTTGTTAAAAAAAATTTGCTATACCAACATTGTTACTTAATTTATTTTCGAAAAAATTGAAATTTATGCAGAGTTCACTTGATTAAAATTTAAATTCATGTCATTCTAAATTAAAATATTGAAGTTAATAAACTCCGATTATAAAATTAGGTATTAAAACTCATATACCATTGGAAAATTTTTGTAATTTATATTCATTAACACAATTAATCATTTAAAACTATCTAAATTGACAAAATTATTAATTGATATCATTAATGTTCATAAAAATATATGTATACGATAATATACTCTTTGTAATAATAAACATCTGAAAAACTGTTTGATGACTTAACAAAATAATATAAGTATCTGTTTAAAGTATTTTCGTTATAAGAGACATTTTCTCAAGAAATTTCATAGCCTCCCCTGGTCGAGCCCGTTAAGGCGCTCCCAGTGCGGTTGAGAGCAATGATGGTCGAGGGTTCAAGTCTCAGAGTCAACAGGTCGGAAGAATTTTTTTTATTAATATTTTTTGTAACAGAGATCTAAATTTGTTACATATGTGTAACGGGGAATTCATTTATAAATGCTCTTTAAAAATTCATAATTTATTAAATTATAATTTACATTAAAAAATTGCTTAATAAACAAAATTAAATTTTTCAAATAAAATTCGCCTACGTATCTGACGTCAGAAACTATCCCAAATTCATATTACGAATCCGACGTCGTTTCCGACTGCGGATCCCATGTCGAATCAGGCGTCGGATCAGAAGCCGAAAACGGCGCAGGTTCCGATGTCGTATTCAGCTTAGGAAACGACGCCGGAATTTTCAGTAGAGTACGAAAAAAAGAACAAACATTTGACGACACAACTTGTAACTAACATGTTACAGAACTATTGTAGATTTGACATAATGTTCTCATTCCAGAAAAGTGTTCTTAATATTTTCTAGAAAAAGAGAAGAATTCTGCCATAAAAATGTCAAATTATAATCTTTTAGCATATTCTTCATTCAATATGCGCTTCAGACCAATTCAAGTGAATTCAAAAACAGATCCAATTCGTATTTGTCGCTAAGCGGAATTAACTGAGGTCAATCTCGTATATTCAATATAATTTTTTTGAATTCTTTTTTGTATAACCGTTGCCTACTTATATAACATGAGTGGTATGTGTCGACTGTGAATTCGAATAAGAACTCGTGTAAGATTTAACATGTGTTTTCTAGTAAGATCAGTTGTGTGTCTCATCTGAGATCTTGATAGCGATCTCACGTAAATAATTATTTGTGGTCTAATGTGAGATCTTATGAACGTTTTTATAGTAGGGCGAAATTTACAATTAAATACAATCATACCTCCTGCAATAAGATAAGAAAATGTTTGCCTCTTGTGTAGAGATTCATGACTGTCACATGTTGGATCTTGCACAGAATCCCTTCGATATTTGGAAAAATCTGGTACTTGGATGTCCGTGTGAGATAAACGTATTTGCTGAGCTTGAGAAGTTACTGTAATACAAAAAGAAATTCAATTGTAAAGAAATACTTTACAATATTTCATAATTTATTAACCCCTTAACTGCTGATGACGACAATTTTGTGCGTCAAATCTTCGTCATCGCAGTTAAGGGGTTAATGCTATTAATAAAATTTCAGAAAAATTTTAATAATCGACCGATAAAGTTAATTTAATAAAAATACTTTAATACTTTTCAAACTGAAATTTGATTAGAACATAATTTATATTCAAAATCCATTTTATATAGGATTTGACAGAATTAGAAATTCATCTTGATCGTATCAATTGAAGAGCCAACGATAGAGGTGAGACTGTGCAACCTTTCATTTTGGTTATTGAGAACACACTCGAAAAAATTCACTCGATTTACGTTTGCGTTGACACTATGAGATATGTATGGAAAGTTTACTTCAAGCTCTAGATCTATGTTTTACAAGGGTCAATACCCTTGTACTGGTGTACACCTCTGGAATTTTATTCAAAGCTACATTTATAAAATATTCACTACAAGTGACGTAGAAAGTATTTTGCAAATTGAAGTTGCAGTTGATCTTTTAAATTCGGAGCCAATTTTGAGGTATTTTTTTAATAAAATGCACGTGTTATTAATTTATACATGCATAATGAATTCAAAATTAATATCTTAATATATTATTTTTTACAGTAAATATTTGTGGGACGGTTCAAACGTAAAATGAAATAAATCACAGAATAACACTCGAAAAACCGAAATCGAAAAATAGAAATCCGAGAAGCGAAATCGAATATCCGAAATCAAAAAACCGAAATCGAAAAACTGGAGAGTTTCTGTTTATATAATATTTTCATTTAGTGCAATTTATTTTTTTTATCTTTTTCTTGAAAAATACGTTGCCATTTATGTAAAGTAATTTGCAACACATCCTTACGAGCTTTAATTACACATTATCGTACTTTTCACAACTTCAGAGAAAAAAGTAATTATGTTTGTTCTATATGTGAAAGACCATTTTCTCTCTTGAATTCTTTTAAACGTCATGTTAATCTTGAACATCCATTACATTTTCCAAAAAAATTAGTTTCGCCTCCTACTGATCCAAAAGTCTCTGTACCAAATGCTAGTACTCCTTGCACAAGCTCATCTTTATCAATTCCGTCTATTTTTTCTCCTGAAATCCACCATGAGGTATTTATTACACCTGCTTGTAACATAAGTCCAAACACATCGAAATCGAGTTCATCACACACACCTTCTATGGATTTTTATTCTAATTCAGATCCTAATATCTCTTGTGTCAGCGCTGATAGTTCAACTAACTCGAAATTCCCACCACTTATTGCTTCTTCTCTAACACCCAATGACTCATTATTAAGTACCAATAATGCTTCAGATCCGACAACTTCAAAAATTTCAAATAATAGTCAAAGTTTTAAAACATCTCAAAGTCAACAAGAATGTAATTTAACTGATTTGATTGAGGATAAAGTAACTCGTATGATTACAAATTTGTACAGTAAACCAGCGATGCCTAGAAATCTTGTTCAATGTGTAATGGAAGAAATGAATAACACTGTAACAATTCCATTAAATTTAATACATGAAAAAACTAAAGAAATTTTAGACAAATATTGCATTACTCAAAAAGAACAAAATGAAATTGATTCCATGTTTCAAATTTTGCCCACCACTTTAGAAAAAAACAAAACTGAACATTTACGCTTTAAAAATCTCAGAGAAAAGGGACTTTATACTGATCCTACTTCTCCTACAGTTTGTGAAGATTTTGAAGTAATTGGTGGAAAAGAAGTACCAAAAAAGGGATGTTTTAAAATCTTTCTTTGAGACTGAAGGTGTATTGTATACGGTTTTAGAATACATGTCTTCCTTAAAAACAGAAGATCTCTCATATCGTGCAAGGACATGTGTGGAAGAGTAATGAAAAAGATTTCAAGGGAGACATAAGTCTTCCTTTGGGATTATATTTCGATGAGTACGAAACAGGGAATGCGCTTGGTTCTCATACTGGAATCCATAAACTCGGTGCAGCCTATATTATTTTGCTATGCATTCCACCTCAATTTAGGGGAAAGTTAAAAAATATTATTTTAGCAATGTTAATTCATCATGATGATCATAAAACAGTGGGTAATGAAATAGCATTTGCAAAATTAATTGCAGAATTTAAATATTTAGCTGAAATAGGTATCGATGTCTTAACTAAAAATGGAAAAGTTAATATAAAATTTATTCTTGCAGTGATTTTAGGAGACAACCTTGGTTTAAATACAAGTTTAGGGTACAGCGAAAGTTTTTCTGCTAATTATTATTGCAGAATATGTAAAATGAGTAAAACTGAAGCAAAATATGCTACCGAGATTAAGGATTCCGATATAAGAACTGAAATGAATTACAACGCAGATGTAAAAGAAAACAATTTCCAGGCAAGTGGTGTAAAAAAGAAATGCGTTTTTAACAAAATTCCTTACTACACGGAGAGAAAAATCATACTATATTCACATGGGTTGTGTCACCCTGTTGAAAATTCCTATGTGAGAACACATATGGGATCCCATCCAGGATCTCTTGTGAGTTCTTATGTGGGTTCCCGTACAGGTTCACACATAAGATCCTGTATGAAAAGGTTCCTGGGATGAACTTGCGTGAGATCAAGCGCACGATCTTATGTCTCTGTAAAAGCAATAACACAGGATCCCATGAGGTTTCCTGTGTAGGTTCCTATATGAACAACACGATAAATAGGAACACACATGGGATCTTATCCGAGATCTTGTATGAGTTCTTACATAGGTTCTCACATATAAGAAGATTAATAGCAGCTTAATAAGATTTTATAGAATGCTTTTATATATATGCTATTAATCTTCTTATATGTGAGAACCTATGTAAGAACTCATACAAGATCTCGAATAAGATCCCATGTGTGTTCCTATTTATCGTGTTGTTCATATAGGAACCTACACAGGAAACCTCATGGGATCCTGTGTTATTGCTTTTACAGAGACATAAGATCGTGCGCTTGATCTCACGCAAGTTCATCCCAGGAACCTTTTCATACAGGATCTTATGTGTGAACCTGTACGGGAACCCACATAAGAACTCACAAGAGATCCTGGATGGGATCCCATATGTGTTCTCACATAGGAATTTTCAACAGGGCACTCATTATTCACATCACCTGTGACGTGCTTTTTTTACACAAAATTCATGTGTTTATTGGGTCGTAGATTTCTATGCAAGAAAAGTTTGGAACATGTACTATATTTGCTTCAAGTCCATGTCGTAAATACTCCCCTCCACTCAATGCGAAATTTGCTTGAAATCCATGCGCTTTTCGGATGGATTTCTTGCAACGGAGATACAAATGATAGTGCGCATGCGTGACTATATATATATGACTAGACACGTGAACGGGAGTCACGCATGCGCACTAGCATTTCTATCTCCGTTGTAAGAAATCCATCCGAAAAGCGCATGGATTTTAAGCAAATTTTATATAGAGAGAAGGAAGGCAATTTTATCATGTTTCTTAAGCGTTTATAGTTTACAGATCAATCAGAATTAGTATACATGTCTTTCTAATTTCACACAACGTTTATTCATGCAATAAACACAAGATTTCATGAAAAAATATCTTGCGTGATAAACGATTTTTACATGAAATAGTGTTATGTGAAAAAAGCAACAGTGGCTCATGTGAATATAGTATGATTTTTCTCTCCGTGTATAGTTCTTGAAAAAATATTATTGCCGACCTCATGCACGATCTTCCAGAAGGTGTTTTACCAAACGAAGCGGGCTTAGTATTTGAAGTAAAATGTGAAGAAGAAAGAAATTATTTTTATTAATTTTATTAAAAAGAGTAAAATTAATTACACACCGAGTTAAAATAAGTACAAAAGTAGTTATTTTAAAAGGGAAGCTTCATATAATCGACTTGTTTTGAAAAATTTATTAGAAACAACTTATAGTCTTTATTAAAATGCGTTAAATTAAATTATACAAATAGGTAAGGTTTAAAGATATTAGAATAAATTTTTTATCCATCAAAAAAAGAGAATAGCGGCACTGCAGCTGTTCAAACTTAGTTCCTTAATTTTGCGCCGTGGATTGGCCAGGTCTTTGTAATTAACGAAAATCGACAAACCAAATCATTTACTAAAATAAGATATTCCGCTTCGAACTAATTTCAATTGAGTAAAAGAAAAAAATAATTGAAAATTTAAAAACATTAAAAAAAGAATTTGAAAGCAAATGCATTTTTAAAGCAACAAATTTATTATATGAGGTTTTGCCCTCATGTTTTTATTTATAAAAATTTTTTTGTACAATTTATATAAGTGAAATTCTCGGTTTTTATAAATTAAATTTCATTTTCTTAAAGTACTTTGACTTTAAGGATAACATTCTCATCACGGCACTCGCGTTTCACGCTCGAAAATTAGAAACATACAATAGAAAAAGTAGGCATGCATTAACCCATTAACGAAATTTTTATAGGTACTTTGAGGCTCTATCAAATAGTGTACTAAAAGAACCGAAAATTTTTAAAGAAACAATTTACAAGCATTAAAAAAAGATTTTTTTAGATTTTTTGTTCAGTTTTTATAATTTTTTCAAATCTTATCCCTTCAGAATACCTTTAAATACTAAAAATATCGCGTCAAAAATGTTTCAATGCGCCATTTTGAATTTTTAAAAACTCCAAATTTGAATAATTTTGTTTATTTTTGACGAAATCATCTGGCCAACGAACTCAGGCGAGATTTTGGTACACTTAAAGTGTATACCAAATTTGAAGTCGATTCATTAAAATTTGTTCGAGTTATCGTCGGACCAAATTTTGTCTACAGACATACAGACAGACAGACAGTTTTTTAGGAGCCATTTTTTAGGCATCAGAAATTCTCAAAACGTCGAGATTCACTGGAATTAGAGAATGCTCAAAATCGCCCAAATGTAATACCTTCTCATTATGATGAGAATGTAAGTCCGTTTTTAAAATTTGAAAATGGCGGGTCCAATATGACGGTGGACAATTTTAAAAACAAATCCAATTTACTTGAAAATGGTTACTAAGGTTACCTTTAGATTTGTGTTCACCGACCTCGAAAACCCCTAATTAACGATTTTGAAGCTAATTAAATAGATTTAAAAGATAGTCCGCCGTAATCAGCGACCCCAAAAACCCCTAAATAACTATTTTCAAGTTAGAGGGGGGGGGGGGCACGGAGTAGTAATAAGGAGGTGGATCTTGGAAAAAAAAGTGTGTCGGGTTTTTTGCAAGAGGGGTCCTCTAGCAACAGTGGCGGCGACCCTCACGGGTAATTGTGTAAGTGTTGTGGAAACAGCGGAAATATTTGGTTGTCTGTTGCTGGAGTCAGCTGTAAATCAATTTTTATCACATTGTTTTTCACAGAATTAAATTTTTTTTTTAAAATTGCAACTGTTATAAAATATTTAATTAAAGAAAAAAAAATGAATGCAATAAATTTATAAAAGATTACTTCATTTTATTATAATCTTAGATTTCAGATTTACTTAAAGTTATTAAAAATATTTATTTAATTTTTTTGTAATAATTTTAATTTATTTTATTTTTTTATTACTATTTCATTTTATTTATTTTAATAATTTTCCAATTTATTGTTTTAAATATTTATTAATGTAATTTAAATTATTTAATTTAATTTCATGTTTAATTAATTTAAAAGAATTAAATGTTATTTAAGAAATTACTATAAATTTTTTTTAAAAATTAATATTACAATAACCTTGCGGAATATTACACAAATTTAAAAAATTAATATAATTAAATGAATAAAATAAATGAAAAAATATTTTTAAAAAATGCTCATAATTATACCGTAAAATGAGGTTATTTCGCTTATTGAGGGTAAATTCACTCACCAAGTTATCTTTAAACCAAGTTTTGATACTTCTATATGAACAAATTCAACATTTTAACTTTGAAAAAAGAGTATCAAATTTTATTTTAAAGATATTTTGAAGCAGATAACTTGGTGAGCGAAATATCCCTGTCTTACGGTACAGATTAATTAATATAATTAATTCTTGTCAAAGATTTTTTTTATTAAAAATTGAGAAAACAATATTGTAACAAATAAAAAAATAAAAATTGCAACAAAATATTATAGAAATAGTCTTTTTAACGTAAAAAATAAAAATATATACGACAGTTGTCATTAAGTACTTAATTTAAAATAACTATAAAAACACAACATAAACATACGTAAAAATGGGTTTCTGGCTCTAAAATGAAAATTGGGGTGTTTGGGAAATTTTAAATATACCATTTTTCTTAGTTTTTTGTGTCCTATACAACATATATAAGAGAGTATAAGTCCTATAAGAAGTATATTAAAAAAAATTTTTTTTGTAGCATCGTGTTATAAATTTCTTTCAAACATAAAATTTACTCCACAATATTATGATAAATGTCCTAAAACTTGTATAAGTTATTATGCAACAATTAAACTACAAAAAAGATATTTAGAAAATTTTTTTTTCTTAATAGCCTGTTTGAGAGGTGATTTAGCGAAGCCCTCCAAAAATGTATGGTCGTGCAGTGGCCCAGATAACTTAGTCCAGATTTCAACTGAAATAAAAAACCAAAAAGCATTAGTTTCTGTAGCCCAGAATCTGCAGAAATAAGTAGTCGCTTTTAAAAATATTAATATTTACAATTTCTGGACAACTTTTAGTAATGGAATTTTAATCCGAAATACGTATTTTTTCATGCAAATCGATGCCATTTTGTGAAAAATGTATATTTTTAAAAACGGCTACGTATTTCTTCAGATTTTGGGCTACAGAAACTAATTCTTTTTCGTTTTTTATTTTAGCAGCACTCCGCTAAATCACCTGCCAAATATGCAATTAAAAAAACAAGTTGTAAATTCAGATGTTCATTACAAGAACATTTTGCTTCCTCTTTACGATCAGCAAAGAAATTTGCTTCCTCGTGGAGAAAGCATTAACATTGAAATAAACATACAAAAATAATATAATAATATAAACATTTGAGTACCTATGATGTATTCCACGCCAAAGTGTAAGTCCATCTGCAATTGCATCTCCGATTTTTTTGAGATTTTTTTTTCTTTTAGTACTAATTGAGACTAGCTTCCATGAATTTTTTCAAATTTTGTTAGCAAGCCGTTTTCGAGTTATGGAATTTTGAAAATTGGAGAATTTTCATGACTTAATTTTTAAATGCTCGTAACTTCCTTAAAAATGCATCAATTTTAAAAGTCTTTTTTTACAAAATGTGTGTTTTTAAACGTACTTTTCCAAAAAAAATCGAAATTTTTTTTTAAACGATATTACTATCAAATTTTTGAGTTTTAATGATAAAAAATCATTTTTCTCATTTGACGTACTGATCGATTTTTTTCAAAATTTTTTCAAAAAAACTACATACTTCTTTTTACGAAACTTTTAAGCCCAGCCCGATAATGGGCAAACAGTTTTTACAATATTTTCGGAATTTTTTAAAAATGTTTTAATTTTGAATTTTTGAAAAATATTTTTGGTTTTTTTTTATACTACGTACTTTTATGTATTTTGATGCGCTGATTACAAAAATCATAGTGAAAATACCCAAAATAGTTATTTATGATACAAGTGCGTAAAGTGAGTGATTATACGAGTGTGAATCACACGAGTATAATCAGATTTACGCACGTGTATCATACAACATTTTTTGCAACACCCACCTCTAAAGTTAAGTACCTATTATGGAGAATTCCAACTCTCTATTAGAATAATTTCGATTGTATAGAATTAAAAAAATCAATCGAAGATCAGGAAAAATATCATTAAGCAGGAGTGTATAAATTTAAAAGTAAACTTCTTTTTTTAATTTTGTGGTTTTGTATGGTCTAAAATAATCCTTATATTATGTGAAAAAAATTTCGGTGCGTAAAGTAAATCACTTTACACACCGTTTGAAAAAGAGCTTCTTTACACACACTTTTCGGTGTGTAAAATTTAACTTTAGAGGTTAGTGTTGCAAAAATTTGACTTTATGGTGAAAACCATAAAAAAGTCCCAAAAAAAAATTATATAAAACCTTAAATTTTTCTATTTAAAAATTTTTTCGATTGAAAAAAAAATTTTGGAAATTAGACGATAAAATTTTTTTTTTTGATATTTTTAAAAATCTTTTGGTCAGTTTTGAGATATTAATATGATAAATAAGCCTACCTCCACGAGGAAGCAAAAATTTCAAAATATTTTTTTTGTAGTTTAATTATAGCATAATAACGTTATGTACTTTAATTTTATTAAAAAAATTTCCTTTCTTAAAAAAAAATTCTTGAAAAACGCGTATTTTTTCATGCGGTCAAAGTGGTGTAACCCCTTAACATACATATTTAAAAATATTACTGTATGAAGCAGCTCTCAGACGAAAGTCAATAGACTAACCAATAACAATTATTAAAACTAAATAATAAGAAATAAGACTTTTAAACCTGGAACAATCTTCAAATTGTTTTAAGTGGTCTTGTAAATTTTTGAACCGTAAATTGAAGGTTTTTTAAGATTTTTTTTCTCAAAAATTTCAAAATGAAATAAGTCTCGATAACCGAATTTCAAAAATTCTCTTTGCATTCTCTTCTAAGGAATTTTCATTATTGGCTAAACTCGAAATACTCAAAACTAGCAAAATTAAAAAAAATGTCAAGCTTTAGAAAATAAAAAACTGAAAAACGTCATTTTTTTGAGATAAATTAATGAACAGAAAGCATAAAAATGAATATTATTAGTATATTAGAGGTTTAGCCGCTAAAAAATTCCACAGATGAGAATGCAACAAAAATTTTTTAAATCGGTTTTCGAGTTATGGTGCAACCAAATTTAAAATTTGAAGTGCCCCTCTATAGAAGGAAAATATTAATATTTTTTAAGATTGCCATTTAATTTTTTAATAGTTCTATAAATATACATAAAAACATGTTAAATGATTAAACTTGTTATACTTTAAAACTTTTGACAAAAAAAACTTAAATTTTTAGTTTAAAAATTTACAAGATCCTTAGCTATACAGAAATGTCACTTTTTTTAAACAAACTAAATAGTCGTATAAACAAAGAAATATGTAATTAGAATTACGAGTAAAAACTTAAAATTAAATTAGAAAATAATATACTCTGTCTTTCACTGCCCGAATTCCAGTTACGTAATGTTCATTCAAACGCCACAAAAAAAGGAAATAAAAGATGTTTACTTGATATACCTGCGATTCCTGAATTTAATCTTATAGGTCCACTGAAAGTATATGACTTTGTGTAGACCTTATGCAAAGGAGGTGGAACAATAACTTTTGTTTTCTGAACTTTGCCAGTGGTAACTGAAGATTTTGGTCCAGTAGGTACACATTTTGTTGTAGCACGTAAAAACGGTGCAACATTTGTTGACTTAGCAATCACATTCATTGTTACAAGATACTAATTTATCATTCACAAAATAAAAAGTTCACTTCTTATCTACTGAAACTTCTAAAATTATACTCCTTTCTCATTTATGGATTTAGGAATCATTAGCAACCTCCAATGTTGATGTGCAGCACCAAGGTTGCGATAAAAGTTGAAGAGAATTGGAGAAGCATAAAGGTACGGAAGCCTGTACGGCTCACGAGCGTCTCGGACGCAAGTGGCGGTGTTTCGTACCACAAGTGGCACGAAGTCCGTCCAACTTGTGGCAAGTTCGTTAGTTCGTGCCACTTGTTGGACAGGCTCCGTGCCACTTGTGGAAAGTGGATTTTTTGAAGGGTCATTTACAAATATGACAATTCCGTTGGATCCTGTTGCTATCTATTTCGTCAGTGCTTTTCATTTCAATTTCATGTGAAGAAGAAGAAATGAATTTTATAAGATATTAGTAATATTAGCATATTAGTAAATGTCATCGAACAAACTTTTTATAGTTCACACATAAATACTCCTTCCAAACGTAAATATACATATTAATAAACTACGGATTCCACTAAGAATTAAGCGAAAGTTTTTTCTTAGTTTTTTTAATTTTTCTTAGTTTAGAATAAAAATAAGATTTTTTGGTTATGTTGTCATTTTTTAATTTAAAATACATGAAGAGCATTTTATTTTTTAAAATTAAAAGTACATTTTTAAGAATATTTAAGATTAATAAAGCTGTCAATATCATTTGTTTACACTGAAATGTAATCTTTTACATATATTTTCAATTAAAAAATAACAAATTCATTTTTATTCAAAAACATTAAACGGACTTGCCCGGATGAAATTATACTTGAAATGAAAAGCACTGACGAAATAGACGGCAACAGAATCCAACGGAATTGTCATATTTGTGAATGACCCTTCAAAAAATCCACTTTCCACAAGTGGCACGGAGTCTGTCCAACAAGTGGCACGAACTAAAGAACTTGCCACAAGTTGGACGGACTTCGTGCCACTTGTGGTACGAAACACCGCCACTTGCGTCCGAAACGCTCGTGAGCCGTACAGGCTTCCGTATAAAGGTGCTTATATACCTCAAATTTCGATCAGATGAACATTATTTCTGGACCGTGAAAATGCGTGAAAAGTCATTTTCACGGCGGGTATTTTTGAATTGTTTTAAACAAAAAATGTTTTTTTTAAGAAATATAATATTAAATAATTGTTTTAATATGTAAGAACTCTTTAAAATAGTGATAAAAAGATGATTTGATTGAAAAATTTAGCAAATTTTGCTTTAAAACGTTTCTGCTACAAGAAAGTGTAAAATGACGATGTTTGTGAAATGGTTTGTACAGTGTACATGTGTACATGTTTCTTTCAGTTATTCGAAACAATTAGTTGAATTTAAATTTATTTGATAAACATTTCAACTTACCGATTTATTTTCAGCACTCATTATTTATTACAAGTTAAAAAGAACCGACATAACATAAACAAAACTCTGAGAGACACTAATGGAGCATTTACACCTTTAGTAAAAAAAAATTTTATTTTGCTTTTTCCGAAGTACACAAATCTGATTGGTTGTTCACAATCTGATTGATAATGGACAACCAATCAGATGTTTGCATTTCGGAAAATCAAAGTAAACATTTTTTTTTACCAAAGGTGTAAATGCTCCATAACAAGGAAGAAGCACTGTACAAACCATTTCACAAACATCGTCATTTTACACTTTCTTGTAGCAGAAAACGTTTTAAAGCAAAATTTGCTAAATTTTTTAATCAAATCATCTCTCTATCACTATTTTAAAGTGTTCTTACATATTAAAACAATTATTTAATATTATATTTCTTAAAAAAACATTTTTTGTATAAAACAATTCAAAAATACCCGCCGTGAAAATGACTTTTCACGCATTTTCACGGTCCAGAAATAATGTTCATCTGATCGAAATTTGAGGTATATAAGCACCTTAATTTAAACTCCTACAACTTTCCATCCAAGAAGAATTAAGGCCTAAGCAGAATAGCTTCGCGAAAGACGTCCGTGAACGTGAAACATGCATGACTTTCGCGAATCTGTTGTGCGTTGACCTTTAGGCTCTGTCACTTGTGACGTCAGAGTGGATTCTAGGTGGGACGTCAGAGGCCTGGAGGGGCAACAAACAGACGACACAATGTTACTCTTATGGGGAAGAAGTTTCCACTTTCATCAATTTTATACATACTTTAAACATGGCAAACGCTTGTTGACATATAATAAAATTAAAATGTGTATTGATAATTAATTTTGTTATATATTTGATTCAATTGCATTGATAGATTCTCTGAATTCGTGACAAAATATAAATTTTAAGGTTAGGAGTGTTTGTTTACTAACTTGAAATCTTTTACTGCTGCGGTAATTCCCACTTAAAATATATATTTTATATCTTTTTTAATAACATGCATACTGGATATTGTTTAATAATGTTGTTAAAATGTAAAATGTGATTAGTAAACAAACACCCCTATCCTCAAAATTTATATTTTATCACGAATTGAGAGAATCTATCAATGCAATTTAATCAAAGATGTAACAAAATTAATTATCAACACACATTTTAATTTTATTATATGTGTCGCTCCACGAGAAAAGGGACCTTATATGCGACAAAAAATTAATTTCCATTTTTATATGCGATTCGATAGTATTTGAGTTGCTCTTTCATATAGAAATGTCAAAAATAATATTTTTCTAATTACTTTTTTTGTAATAAAGCTTTAGACATGACCATATCAATCTCGTTCCAGCACGGACTACGGAAGCATGTACGGCTCACGAGCGTCTCGGACGCAAGTGGCGATGTTTCGTACCACAAGTGGCACGAAGTCCGTCCAACTTGTGGCAAGTTCGTTAGTTCGTGCCACTTGTTGGACAGACTCCGTGCCACTTGTGGAAAGTGGATTTTTTGAAGGGTCATTCACAAATATGACAATTCCGTTGGATCCCGTTGCTATTAGGCTGTGTCAGTTCATCGAGATATTTCGAGTTCAAGATATGACGTCATAGGTCTGGAGGGACAACAAACAGACGACACAATGTTATTCTTATGGGGAACAAAATTAGTTTTCACTTTCATCAATTTTATTCATATTTTAAACAAAGAAAACGCTTGTTGACATATAATAAAATTAAAATGTGTGTTGATAATTAATTTTGTTATATATTTGATTAAATTGCATTGATAGATTCTCTCAATTCGTGATAAAATATAAATTTTGAGGATAGGGGTGTTTGTTTACTAATCACGTTTTACATTTTAACAACATTATTAAACAATATCCAGTATGCATGTTATTAAAAAGATATAAAAGTACTTATACATGAAATTGTACAAGATCATGTACATTTTCTTGTACAAGTATCTTTCTTATTCCAAATTCGTATGCATTTTCCTGTACGCAGGAACTGGTCAGAACTTGTACAAGTTCAGTTGCTGATCCTGTACAGGAAATTGTACAAGATCTTGTACAGGGATTTTCAGTAGGGGAAAGTCGATGGGACTTTCGTTCTGTTCCAAGACCAGAACGATAATATATAAATAGATTGTTCTGTGTCAATCAAGAAGACTAGAGACAGGAGGGCCGTTTCCGAATTGGGACTTTTGTCGCACTTTTGATAAAGTGTACCCTCGGGAAGTATGCAGTGCCCTTGTTTTTCCGTGCATAACACTGCATAATACCCGAGTTCCGGAAGCTGCTGCGCGCCACCACAAAACCAAGTTCATGCTCGATTCATTTTAGCCTCGAAAACTAAAGGTGCTTATATACCTCAAATTTCGATCAGATGAACATTATTTCTGGACCGTGAAAATGCGTGAAAAGTCATTTTCACGGCGGGTATTTTTGAATTGTTTTAAACAAAAAATGTTTTTTTTAAGAAATATAATATTAAATAATTGTTTTAATATGTAAGAACTCTTTAAAATAGTGATAGAGAGATGATTTGATTAAAAAATTTAGCAAATTTTGCTTTAAAACGTTTTCTGCTACAAGAAAGTGTAAAATGACGATGTTTGTGAAATGGTTTGTACAGTGCTTCTTCCTTGTTAGTGTCTCTCAGAGTTTTGTTTATGTTACCCTGCTAAAAATAAAATCACAAAACGTCAAAAAATTAGTCAGGATCTCTGATGTTTTGAGACTGTTTTTGTTACGATTGCAGTCACAGAACACCACAATAAGTGAGGTTTAGTCAAAGAATCGTCAATAGTAGTCAGATTTTTTATGAGGGTCAGAGACCCTTTTTTTTGCCATACCATAAATCATTAAACCCTGTGACTATTTGTGATGTTAAATGACATTTCTTTCTATAAAATAGTTTTGAAGATTCCTGACTTACTTCTCATGAATTCTGACTACAAATATTTAAAAATTAAAAAAAATCAATATTTTATCATTAAAAAAATAAATTATCGTACAACATTTTTTTATCTTTACGTTACACATTCTTAATTATTATTTTTACAATTTATTATATTTATTTACTCCTATCGAAGAAAATCTCGCAAACGCAGGGAATCGAACTCACAACCTAACGAACGCAAACCGAATACCTAACCCCTGAGCTAAACTAACCTAACTGAGATCTTAAAAATAGAATACGGTTTTATGAAAATAGAAGATCTTATTACTTTTTTTCAATTTTATCAACATATTTTGTTGATAATTATTATTATTATTATTTTAAAAAAATTTTATAATTTTTAAAAATTAACAAGTAAAGTTAAAATAGGTATATTGTTATATTGATCAAAAAACATTTGTAGTCCAATTATCATATATTAATGTATTCAAATTAATAAAATTTGCTTCAGCAAATATTTAATTAAACAAAAAATTCGTATGTAAATATTATTTGAATTCGAACTTAAAAGAATATGTGTAATATACAAATAAAATAGTCTAGAATAATAAGATACTGTCGGATTGTCTCAAGTAAACTCTGAGCGAATTTTATCAGGTTTTTCGCTCACGTTTTAGCACATTCATTACTATTATAATTAATTATAATGATAAGAATTAATTAATATGCATATATTAATTACTATATTATTAAAATTCAATTTAACATAATTCTTCCACAAATCAACTAAATAATTACTAATTTTAATTTCTCTTTTTAGCA